CGGCCCCGCCCCCTGGCGGGAGCAGCCGGAGCCTCCCGCGGCGCCGGCCCCGCCGCTCGTGTCCCCGCTGCCCGCCCCAGCCGCAGGGGCTGCGGCCCCCCAGCCCCGTCCCGGCAGCACGAAGAGGGCACCGGGCGTCACAACGTGTTTTATTGGCCATCAGAGAAGTACCGGAGCCCGGGCGCGACGGCCCCGGGAACGCATCTCCCGCTCCGGGGCCGCGGAAAGGACCAGCAGGGCCTCGACCACCGGGCAGCTTCGGCCGGTGCTTCGGCCGGGCGCTCTGCAGGGCGCAGAGCAGYGAGCGGAGCGGAGCGGAGCCGCCGCGGCGCCCGGAACCCGCCTGCTTCCCGGCCCGCAGCCCAGGCCCGGGCCGTGGAGCGGCGCGCAGGGCAGCGCTAGGAAATGAAGTGCGTCTGGGGCGTGATCTGCTCCAGCTTGTGGTCGGCGGGGTTGGCGGACGCTTCGTAGCTGCAGATGGTCACTTCGTGGCGCCGGGCCTGGGAGGGCGGGAAAGGCCACCGGAGCTCAGGCCYCTTCGGAACAGACAGCCCCGACCTGCCTCCCCGAGCGAGTTCTCACTTCTGCCTCAGAGAGCTGGACATCCAGCTATGCTTTCAAATACTTTTTTYCCCATTTTYTTMATATTTTCTTCTATTTTGCTCTGTTCTCACCTACCTCTGTCCACTCTCCTTTCAGACCTATATAGAAAATCTTTGTTGTCTCAGCTCCAAAGTTCTTGGGAAAGTGCATCGAGAGATGGTAAACATTCGAGAAACGGGCAATTCTGGAAGAAAAAAACAGAACGCAGAGCCGTGCCGCGGAGGGGGCTCCCGCCGGCGCCTCCCTGCCTGCCGTACTTGGTGGGATACTCCAGCTCTCCCGTGAGATCCCGGCTCAGCGCGAACGTCTGCTCCGGCTCCCGGGCCGCGTCGTCGAAGGACATGTGAGGAACGTTCTTGAAGCTGCCGAGAGACGAGGGAGACCCAGGAGGYTGTGAAGATGCAGCCGGACAGAGCGGCCGCCTCCGCACCCGCTGCCAGAGCCTTCTCAGGGGGGCAGGAGGGGTTCGCCCTCCTGTCCGGTACAGGGCAGCCCGGTGCGGAACAGTGCGGGACGGGGCAGCCCGGTGTGGTGAGGGGCAGCCCGGTGCGGGGCAGCCCGGCGCGGGACGGCGCGGTTAGGGCACTCACAGGCGCAGCTCGGCGGGGTGCGTGCCGCCCTCGCCGCCCAGCACCATCACCGCCTTCAGCTTCACGTTGCCGGTGAACCTGCCGAGGRACGCGGGGCTGTGGGGCGTCCCGGGCCGGGGCGGCCGGTTCCCCCCGGCGTCCCCCCGGGGACTTACGGCACGTTGAAGAGCAGCTCCTCGTCGTCGTCGCTTTCCACGAACTGCCGAGACACAAGAGCGGGTCAGGGCCGCCGGTACCGGGGCGGGAAGGGCGGACCCGGCGCCGCGGGCCCCGGCGGCACCTGCGCGCGGTCGCCGCGCTGCTCCCAGGCGCGGAAGACGAGGGCGCCGCTGCCCTCGCGCCGCTCGTTGAGGCACTGCAGCCGCTGCCGGTCGATGCGCAGGTAGAGCCCCCAGGCCGCGCCGCCGCCGCCGCCCTCGGCCGCCCCGCAGCAGCAGCACGGCCCGCGCCCCGGCCCGTGCCCGTGCGCCATGGCCGCACCGCGCCTGCGCGTCGCCGCGCCCCGCCCCCCCGGGAACGCCCCGCCCCTTGCCACGCCCCCTCCCCCCGGCCGCGCCTGCGCAGTGCGCCCCGCCCGGCGGGCGGGAGGCGCTGGGCGCCGCACGTGGCGCGGGCGGCCGGTCCCCGCGGGCCGCCGGCTCCGCGGCGCTCCCGGCCCTGCCCTCTGCTCGGCCGGGCAGGTTGAGGCTGCCCTCGTCCTGCGCTGCCGCGGGGAGGAAGCCCCTTCGGCTCCCGCGGCCAGAACTGCAGCCCCGGTTGTGAAGCTCAGTCCCAGGCAGCACCGGCGGGCGGGCAGGGAAGCACAGAGCAGCTTTTCAAAGCAGGGCTAAGACAGGGCCTGGGTGGAAGAGCTCTTGTATTTTAAATGTCAGGCTCTTCAAGGCAGGAGTGGGAATCGGGAACAGTTTAGCCTAATACACAGCCCAGGYAGAAGCTCTGGTGCAGACCTTGCCCTGCCAGGGGGCCTGGCCCAAACAGGGCCAGGCAGAGTCAGCAGCTGAAACTCCTTCGCCCTGGCCCCCGTGCCCCAAGGGCTGCAGAACAGGCACCCTCCCCGCACCGAGGGGCACGAGGCCCCAAAGGAGGAAGGGAGCTGGTTTGGCCCCAGTGTGGAAGGAGGAACGTTCAGGGAGCCAGGCCGTGGTTCTATGCTGCAGTCCCTCTGTTTGTCCCAGGCCTGTGTGTCATGCTGGGCACCAGCAGCTCCAGGGCGTCAGGCATCATTAAGCTGAGATTCTGCACCTCTTATTTTCATGGCAGTGCAGTATTACCAAAGAACAAGCAGACAGGGTCCAGTGTTTGGCTTTTATTGAGACATGATTTTTCCTTTTTTTTTTTCCATATAACTTATCTAATTAAAATATTCATCTTAGTTACCACAAAAAAAAGGAACATAGAAAATTGTATATACACAGTTGGGGACCAAAATACAAATGCAAGTTGAAGTCACTCCCCCTCCTGCCCCCGTTACTCATCCCACCAACAGCAGGGTCACCAAGGGGGAGCTCCGTCCAGCCCCTGCGTGTGTAGTGTAGCACAGAACAATTGCACAAGGGGGAGAGCTGGGCAGCGCGAGGCTGCGTGCGGAGCGGCCTTTACCTGGACTCGGCTGAGGCTGTGGCCTCCTGGCCCTCCCTGYCTCCCCGCCGGTGCTCGCCCTATTCCTGCCACCAGGCTTTGGGGTCCGGCGGGGAGAGGGAGGGGATGGGGGCAGCGCTGGCCGAGCAATTAATGCAGACGCCGTTGCAATTAATGCAGACGCTGTCACCTCTGCTCCTCTCTGCGTCCCTCGCTGTGATGCAGCCAAGCCAGAAACAGGGGACAAAGCCTCGAGCAAAGAGGCTACTAGAGGCGGAAGGAGCCCCAAGAACAGCAGTGCTTGGGGCAGTAGCCCCGTCTGAGTATTGAACTGGTGGATTAATTAAGCGGCAATTTAGGAGTGCCCAAGATTGGGCTTGGGCTTCATCCAGATCCTTTGCTCSACCGGGGCATGAGTACAACGCAAGACAGACCTCCCTTCCCTCTGCCCCTACCCCAAGAACAAGGGAGAAAGAAATGGTAGCACAAGGGTCAGCGGAAGATAATATATTGTAATCTAATTAAAAATACAGCAAAATTAAATACAGCAAAATGCAAGAATACGGAGCCAGTATTTTACAGCACAACACACACTGAAATGCTGCACGGTAACATTAAAGCATCTGGGACTGTAAGGAACTTACAGCACATGAGAGTCTGAGAACACTTCTCCAAGACCTTCAAACTAAGAAGCAAACAGACCAAATAAACGAGAGAAATGGTTTGGGATGGCTTTGGAAAAAAACAAAACAACAAAAAAGAAACCCCAAACACATACAGGGAATTTTCTAAAGCCCTCTGGGGAAGTCTCCCCTATCARCACAGAGACAACTGCACTTGTTCAGTGTTTTCCACCCCAGAAAGCCACGGGCAGAGCTCTAAGAGCTGCCACAAAGAACAGCATCCGCTACCAGCACCTCTTCCACCCAGACAGCAAAGTCCTAAGAGAGCAAGTCAGGCTCCGCACGGGGACTTCTTCCCTTTTCCTGATGGATTCGGAGGTCGGAGCCATCACAGAGGCCTGACCTGGGGCCGCTGCGCCGCAGCCTGCGCTGCCTCTGGGGGAGCTCCCGTGAGAGGCAGCTTTGCAGCAGAAACGCTCCCTACAACAAGCTTCACATTTAACAGCAAGCGCCTAGTAGTGTCCCTCTCCTCTGCCCCTGCTGCAGCCACAGCAAATGCACCTGAAATCCCAAATCTAACCAGCACCTGCCCTCGCAGCACCTCCCGCGCGTCTGCAGGAGCCCAGCTCGGGCACCCTGTCACACCACAGCCAAGCCCAGCGGCAAGTTCAGCTCGGTCACATCTCACACTGTCCTTCCCGAGCTCCAGTTCCACAGCCACCAAGTGCACCCAAGTGTTTTGAACTTCTGATATGAAGCCTGCGTACATTAAAAGCAAAGTGTTCCATTATTCACTTCCCTGTACCCCTMGTCGAGTGGTTTCAAGTTCAAAGATGAGAATTCTTGCCTTTTCCAAAGAGAGGGCAGAGGGAAAGGACAGGATTCAAGTACCAGCTTCCAAACTGGAAAGAAATCCTTCCCAATTCCACGCRGAAAACAAGATAAAAGTATTCCTTCTGTCCACTAAAAGAGTCAAACTGATCCTCATTGATACTTAAAAACTGTTTTCAGGTTTGAAGGCAGACCAAACTAAGTCCCCTCCTTCAAAAAAAATATAAAGACTTAAAATGTTCATTGGAGCACAGTAAAACCTCTTCCCCAAACCCTCCAGGTTTTATTCCCAGTAGCCAGCAGAAGACAACAGCAGCAGAGTCCCCAAAGGCTCTTGGCATCCCCGCCCAACGCTAGCACCTGTACGAGACCTACAGTTAACAGCAGAGAGAAGGTCAAGAGCCAAGATTTTTAGCATACACGAGTAGAGAGCAAAGCCCCAGGACTTGAGGCACTTGCCAGGGGACCCATGAGCACCAGCACCACCCATCCCAGGGAGCCCAGGTACCACTTTGAGCCCTGCAGGTACCGGATCACAAGGAAAGACTCCCTCAATAAGCAGCATCCGCCCAGACACACGGCCTCCTGCCAGCTACAGTCACAGCGCAAGGCTCTGTACCGGGGTGCGAGGGGGAGAACACTGGGAGCGACATAAATAGTACCAGTGGGTGGGGAATATTAGTTAAAACCATTTTATAATTTATTAAGAGGTTAAATAGTAAATAGTCTCTGAATCTTCCACTCTCAGCAGGTGCTAAGACTTCACATTTTCTCATGTCTGGAGATTCTGTACACCCTTCCTTCGACAGGAGACAAGGCCAGAAACAGGATTTTAAGAATGAAGGGGAGGGAGAGGAGGGGGCTTTGACACAGATAAAAGGACCAGAATAAGAGATAAAATACTGTGCTGTYGCCGTGTGCAGATTGAACCTCTCCCAGCAGCTGCAGCCTCTGCAGAGTTCCAAGGAAAGGACCTGGGCCATTTGGGTACCTTCTCCCCCTTCACTGCCACTTCCCCGGCAAGGGGGATTCTCAGCTCTGTGCTGCAAGCTTATCTTCGAGAGAACCTGTTCTTGAAAGCTTTGATCGTCTTTGCCATCATGGGTGCAATTTCTGTAACGGGAGGGAAAACATTCGAGCAGCGGTCGGGAGAGCAGAAYGCGACGTGAGCTGCAGCTCTCCCAAGGAGAGGCAAGGCACGTGCCAGGGCTCTGGGTACAGCCCGTTCTAGGGGCTCAGGCAGAGAACACACAGGAACAAAGCAGCTTCCCTGGGTGCTCTCAGGACCCCGAGAGAGCCAGAGAACAAGCCCCCCCTCTGCACTGTGYCCCTGCACTTCAAAACTTTCCCCTATATTTTTTCCCCACCCTGGGCAAACTTGAACAGGCTTCACCACCTCTCTGCAGGAAGACACGAGAGACCAGCATCCCCCTCCTGCAAAGCCTGGGTCTGACCTTGCAGGTTCATGTGTTTGTGAAGGGGGAACTACAGGGGAGCACCCAGAGAGGCGGCCGTTTGTACTCACTCTTCACTGGCGGTTTCCTGGGGTCGTAGGAGGAGAAGGTGCTACCTGATGAGGGGGCAGAATGGGCACTGCTGGTGCTGGGCCCGTCGTAGGACTGCTCCTCACCGACACGAGAATGGCTTTTGCTGGATGTGTAGAGGACTGGTTTTATTCTGGAACACAAGGACGGGACRCACAGTTCGGTAAAGGAATCAGAGTGTTTTGATACAATTCTGCAGACACGAGTCACACTTGTTAATGGCAGCAAGGCCGAGATGAAACGGAACCAGCGCTAACCAGGATCTCCACAAACTCCCTAGCAAGAAAGAGGCTAATAGAGGTGCAGGTTTCACTGCAAAAGGCCCTCCCAGCTGCATCATTTTCTCTCCAGCAAGCCTTAGGATATGCAGGTTCAGAGGGAACTTGTCAGGAGCCCCCAGGAAAAGGGCCGTAAACAGCAGGTGCCCCTGGTAAACACTCACTTGGTCTTCTCTGGCAGAAGAGGTCCTCCCGTTCCAAATTTCTCCTGTCTTCGCCGTACATCCCGAGGGGGCTTYGCTGCAGAGTTCACAAATGCCATCTTGGCCACCCTCCCTGCAGGTGAAAAGAGATAAATACTGCTTAGATCCAGCTCACTACAAGGCAGGAAATATTTCACTGTCTGTTCTGCATGGACAACACCTCAAATGAGATACAGCGTCTGCACATACATTTGCAAAGGCGACTACATAAAGAACAAGGGTTTAACCAACGACTAGGTTGGATGGGATTCAAACCAGCTGCTCAGAAAGACCTCCTACACCTCTTGCCTTGCAAAGGCTTCCCCCAGCATCCTCCATCCCAGAGGCCGCCCAGCCCTGTACTACCTTTGGGTTTGTTGGCGTGAGCGGAGCCGATGTTCCGCGCCAGCATGAGCAGCCGCTGCTCACGCGCGTCGTGAAGCCGAAGGTACATCTCCCGCCAGGACTCAAACTCTTGGGGCTTCTCATTCTTGAAGTCTCGGAGACAGTGATTGTGCCACAATTGATCCGTGTCTTCAATTAAGGTCTGAAAAAAATAATGAAAAAAAAAATCTACACGTTATCTGGGATCCCTCTGGACACCTTGGAGCTTATCCCCTGGCACGCGCATCACTCCCTCCTCCAGCAGCTAGCTCCTACATCCCAGGAATACCACCAAGGGGAAACGGCTGGGGGGTCAGCCTGCCATTTGCAAGGACTCAGACAGGTGGCAAGTCCAACAGCTTGGCAGCCTAGCAAAGGCCCCCTGTCCTTGTGAAGAACCTTGTTCTTTACCATTCTGCTACTCCAGCCAGAGAGAGACCGTCACTGCCCACATCAGCGTCCCCTTCCCGAGCCGGGACACTCACATAATTACATTCCTCGATGCGGTACAGCTGCTCTGGGGTACATTTCTCCAACACCGGCTCCAGCACTGAGAAAGGGACGCCACCCACTTCATAGATTGCTGGGGACAAAGAAGATACACACAGCATTTATCCTACTGCTTTCTTGAGGAGCAAAGACACCCTGCAAGGCAGTGGAGCAACAGCAACAGTTCCGACACAACATGAAGAGAAAGAAAGTGCAGGTATAAGAGTTGAAGCGAGCGCGTAAGCACCAAGCTCAGTTAAACATTCACRTCCACCTGCCAGGCTGTATTTACCACCAGTTCCAGTATTTTAGTGCTTCCTAGCAGCGCCCTGGGCTCCGATGTCTGCATCACCCACATAAATACGAGCCCTCTCTCCCATGTGAGCCAACTTGCCTTGCAGCAAGCACCACCGTTCAGGTGTTCAGAGCCAGGSTGGGATACATGCAAGCAAGTCACCACGACTCCAGCAGCAACAGAATTCAGTATATTTGCTGGCAACATAACGCTCAAACCGATCAGGAGCGGTACTCACAGTCAATGTTGTTACTGAGGACTCTGATGCACTGCTGGTACAGGGACATCATCTTGGGCAGGTAGGCGGTCTTGGAGCCCGAGTACACCTGCATCTTCGAGTTCAACCTGCGGCCGGTAAACCCGGCCTCAGACTCTTGCAGGGGTGACGACACCGCTGTGAGAGGAAGACCTCGGGTGAGGAGGCAGCCAGCGAGCGCACCCAGCTCTGCTGCTCCCGCCGGCCCGCGCCGGCCGGGCCCGGCCCGTACGTGCTCCCCAGGGAGTGACCCAGGACCCCGCTGCCCAGCACGCACCTCTCCTCTTGGTCTGCGAGCAGGCGATGGACTCGATGGAGGGAAGAGGGCGGTAGTTGGCCTGGATYGGGGGCAGTGGGATGTCGGGTAGCGTTGGCACCACGTCTAGAAGTATCTGGAAGGAGAGGACGTGCAGGCAACTAAGCAGAGATCACAAGATAGCCCTAAACCCCGTATAAACTGTGCATTCTGCTTGACGTTTTCCATAGGGTGCTCACTGCTAACCAGCCCGCGCCGGGAAACAGCCTCAGGGCCAGGCTGCACCGACACCCCAATACGGGAACTCTGCTTGGGCTGCCAACACGGAGGAGCCAAAAATCGGGATCTAAATCGCTCAGCACCCTCTAATAAGAGCTATCCACATCTCACCTAYGAAATTCAGTGCTAAAAGACTCCGGCAAGAAGCCAAGTCTGATTAATGATGCAAAGAACCACAGAAAACAACCGCAGAAAAAGCTGACAAACATGGCCTGAACCCCGAACACGTCTTTTCACATTTTGTCTCATCTCTGCAAAAAACAGTAACAACCTCAATAGGACCGAACAGCACCAGGGAGGGGTAACTCATTGCGAGTTAACTCACAAACTGGGGGAAATGGAGAATTCTATGATGAAATCCTTTTTATCAGAAGGACTGACAAACTAGGATTTGGTGTTAAGATTATAGAAAACACTCTTGAAGAGTAAACTGTTTTGAAGCTGAGTATGAAAGATTACACAGTAAAAGTCTTATACTTATCCTGATTTATACACACAGCCCCTGCAGTAAGGAACATACACAAGAACGCTGTTGATTTTCAAACCTACAAAGATGATGATCAAGCTTCTAGAATAAGCTGCATTGTAACATGAGTTCTCCTATTTCTTTACCACTTCTGAAGACCAAAAGGTTAACAAAACTTCAATACAGATAAAAAGAACAGAGGCCAAGGTCAATTTTAGAGAAGCATGAACATTTGAGAAAGCAGATATTGTAACCTCTGTGGTGAGCGGAGATGCACTGCACAGCAGGCAGGTTTCTAACTCCGCACCTTCCTAAAGACGTGTTAAATGTACACATCTCATCCAACACCTCGAAGTAGAGCTTATTTTCTTACGAGTGCTGAGCTGGAGAGATTCTCCCTCTCCCCTTCCTTGAATAAGGGCTGCTCTTTCCTTTCTCCCTCTGCACCCTTCTAGCAGGGGGACAGTCTCAGGGCGCAGCGCGATGCTCACCAGGGTGCACGGCAGGGCCTCACACAACCCCTGGTGTCCCCGGGCAGGAGTCACCCACCGGCAGGACACACGAGCAGGGTGCCGAGCAGCCCAGCACCTCAAAGCGCAAACCCGCTACGCCCCAGAGAGCAGAGCCCCGCGAGCAGCAGGCCTCACCTCCCTCGACCGCTTTCAGATCCTTCCAACTCTTACCCTGTTCGGTTTAGGARGCTCTGGAACGCTCTTCTCTGCCTTTTTCTCACTTGTCCGCTTGTGGCTAGGGCTCTTTCGACTCGAGCTCGAGCTCTTGGTACTGGCTTTGGATCCGTTCTGCTTGCTGTGCCCTCGGTCTTTCTCCCCAGCTGACACCGTGGGTTTGGCCACTTTCTTTTTCTTTTTCTGGGGCTGGTCGTAGCTGAGGTAAGACTCAAAGGACATTGTAGGCTGCTCAAATTCATCCTCCACTTCCCCATCCCCAAAACTCGAGGAAGAGCCCAGAGACTTTTTGTCCACATCAGAGCCCTTGTGTTTCCCCTCTGAAGTTTTTAAGCTCCCCGAACCCCCCTTTTCTTTACTCCTATTTGAGGAGTCGCTCTCAGCTTTCCGTTTCTCCCGCTCCGTGGTTGAAGTCTCCAGGCTCAGCTTGGCCTTTTCCAATTTGCTTTTCTCAGAGTCCCGATGTTTTTGCTTCTTAACATGGTTGTCTAAAGACTCTTCCAAGTGCGACTGCATGTGCAACTTCTCCTTTTTAGAGGTGCCGCTTTCACGGGTCTTCTCCTTCTTGGTGCTATCTGGCACTCTCTGCTTCTCCCTGCTGCCCCCTGCCACGGGAGCCTCTTGGAGCTGCTCTTTAAAGGAGGACTTGTGCAATCTTTCGGGGCTGAAGGCAGAGGGTCTGTCCTCCCCTCTGCCGTCAAGGCGCTGCTTCTCCTTGTGAGAAGACTTGTGCTCTTTGTTTCGACTTGGGTTCCCTTTCTCGGGGAATTCGCCAGGGTGCCTCTCCCGGCCTCCTCCCACCTTGTCCTGAAGGCTGGGGCCCTTGCTGGCTTTCCGATGAAACACTGCCTGCTCTTCGTGCTCCTCGGAGGCGTACGGGTCGGTGTCCACGTCCTGAGGGCTCTCACTTGCCTCGGGCGACACAGCTTGTCCATAGTCCGAGTACTCCTGATCCGAGGAGAGCACCGGGGAAGATCTGCCCCAACTCTTACCCTCTTGKCTGCTATAGCCGTAAGTCTGATGGGCTCTCTCAGATCCAGGACACCTCTTGGGCTTCTTTTTCCTATGATTTGGACTATAGGACTGGCTGCAGGAAGGTTGGAAAGGCTCTGAATAGTCCTGGTCAGGCTCCTCGTCCTCTCTGGGGGAAGCTTCTCGTTGTCTTTTCCTTGAACTGCTCCTCTCATAGTCACGGTCTTCAGAATCTAGATTATTTCTAAAAGAATAAGAAAACAAAATTGAATCTTCTCAACAGGACTCAGAAGAGCCACTTCTCGTGCGCTGTACTTCATTCAGGAGTTTTATCACAAGAAAATCAATAATTCTACTTGATGCAGCAGCATTCAGGGATTCAGAAACAGCATTTCTGTGCAGAAAGCCCTTAAGTATTTCTGCTAGAGCTAGAAAGTAGAGACTTTCKAGCTCATTGGGCAGGGGGAGGCAGATGCCTACGGAGACCCCTCCTGACTGTGCAGGGTACATGGGACGTGCTCCCTAATTCCCAAGCTAGGCATGCAAAGACACCACGGACACCACGAATATCTGGGATTTTATCATTCACATCTATGAGATCTCTTTGCTGGATTCAACACAGCTGTTAATGCTAGCAAACCTGTTGCAGGAACTTTCAGTTTCCATCCCATTTTTGCTCTTCTTAAACTCTTCTTTCATAGCAAACCACTTCCTTTACTTGGGTCTACAACTTCTCCTCAGCGTCACAAAATGGGAAGCAAGTTGACTGCATCTCTCGCTCTATTAAGGGCACTTTTTTGGCACCTACTGTTAATCTTTCCATCAAACTGCAGTTTCCTGAACGTCGGCCCCTACCTCTGCTCAGAACTGCAGCCGTCAGCAGGTTGGGCCCTGCAGCCAGCGCAGCAGGAAGCTGCCTCCACAACCAGGCTAAAACACCATGCACAGTTAGCACGCTTGTGCTACAAGTTCTTCCAGAGCCTTCACTTGTTTCCCTAGCCAGGGAGCTTATAATCTCCCTCCGCTGCAAAACTCTACCCCAGTTTATGCAGCAAGACAACRCAGCTGGTTCCCTTACCTGTCTACCTCTTGGGAAACAGGCACCAGCTTCTTCCACCTGGCTACGAGGTTCTTCGCAAAGTCTCCAACGAGCTCGTGTTTCCGTAAGCCGTTCACGGTCTTCCCGACACCCGTCTCCTTCATGGGAGAGGCAAAACATTAATTCACCTTTGCAGAACAGCCAGCACCGGTGTCACTGCCGAGCCTCCGGCGGGATTAGTTAACCTGCTCTCTGCTGCTACTCGTAAACCCCCCTGAGCTACAGGCAAGGATCTCACATGTAACTTAGTATGTTTACAGCAAACATCTGGATTACATTTTTAGTATTGTATTGGTTAGTTCTGCAGATCAAAGACAGGGAAACCTTAGTCAAGCATCAATTATTTTGCTTAMTAGACCAAGTTATGATTTACCATAGTTGTTGATAAGTTAGCGACTGCCTTCAGTCTTCAAATACTTTCAGGTATTGACACTTATTCACGCAGCATCAGTCATCACTAGGGACCGTTTTGGCCACCATATCCTGCTCAAGTATTAAGTTTTCAGAAGAATTATGGGCGACAAACTGTCTCCTGCTATTCTGTGTTTGCTCTGACACGCTCCTTCCCCCTCTACATTGAGATAATTCCGCTTCTGGAATTTCTGGGGCCCTCCTCACAACCGTGTTTATGACACGCGTGGCCACAGCATCGTGTTCTACTCCAGGGAAAGCAGCATTGCCGCGGCAAACGGTTACCCTCGAACYTGAGGGGCACGATGGAAGCCAAGAGGGTTCACGGCTCTTACCACGAGGATGTCAACCGTGATGGGCAACTCCGAGAGCCTCTTCAGACTTTTCAGCAGCTGCAGAGGCAAGGAGGAAAGAGTTGAGACTTGTCATCCGAAACCACATGCTGTGATTAGAAAGGAAGAAGAGTCTGCACCGCGTGAGAGCTCGGTAGAAAGATCCAAGTGGCAGACAGCTGTTGTCTYGCTGCAAATCTAGCTCCTGAGACGCTGAGCATGAGGGCCAATTGTAAAGAAATCAACATCTCTTTGCCTAAGGGGGACTATCCGAGAACCTTAAAATGCATTTAAATATTAATGCTTTCTTCACACTGTCTAGGAACTTAATTTTGGCTTAAAGAACCAATAACAGAAACCCATTAGACAGCCTTGTTGCACACCAAGCCAAAGAGAGGGCCTGTAAGCTTGTTACCCTCAGAGGTGGTGTTCAAAATCCCATCCTTTGGCCTGGGTGTGGGATGGAAAGTCCTTTCGGGAGCGTTGTGAACAAGATCCTCACAGAAGGGGGTTTTTGGATCTTCAAGAGCACCTAGAAAAGGAGCCCTGATCTCCTGTGCCAWCCCCCGCTGGGACAGGGCCACTGAGAGTCTCTCCTCACCGCTMCAATCGGTGCCATCTACCAGAGAGATGCCCCAATCCAGAACCTCTAGCCCCACTTTAGCTSCCTTCCCTGCACGCCGGTGAAGGGCATTTCCCGTGCACAGGGCCGGGTTGAGGCACACGAAGCTGCTCCGCGGGCCGGGGARCAGAGCGGAGCCTTCTCCGACTTGCACCGGCCTCTGGAAGAGCGACTGCTGGGGAAGGGGAGAYGCTCATAGCTCTGCCACCCACCCCGGGACTGCTCCGCCAAGGGGACGAGGGCACGAGGCAGCGCCGCTGCTCTTCCCTGCACCCCAGCGAGGGCAGCAGAGCAGCCTCATCAGCGTTCCCATTGTCCCGGCCCGCGCGGGGCGGCCGCACGGCTGCGCCACGGGCCGCACAAAGGGCCGTCCCTCACCCACGAGGGCTGCTTGCTGAAACACCGYGCTCAAATCAGCGCTCTGTCGGCGCGAGCTGCTCTGGCCAGCCCCTGCTGCCACCGTGCCAGGGGCACGGGGGCCGAGAGCGACTTCGGACGGAAATTATGTCTCCCAACATTCCCAAAAAGTGCTCCGACTTTCAGAGAGGGAACGCTCCTCGGCAGAGGTTGGGGCTTACTCTGCAACAGAGCTCGGCGGTACCGAGCGGGGAGTTCTTTGTGCAGCACAGAAAAGGCCTCCTTCGCCTAGAACCTCCGAGGCCACAAGGAGAAACATCTGGGCAACAGTTTTAGAACTTACATGAAGCGTTTCCTACAGAACGGAGCTGATCTGGTACCCACCGTTGCCTTCAGCTGCAATCAACCAAGCAGGCTCAAATCTGATGGCTCCGACATAACTACAACCCCATAAACATTAAGAGGAAAAGGCAGCCAGCTAGAAGAAAGGAAGTTTACCGAGAGRTTTGCATCTTACTAGACATCAGGAAAAGAGACATATAAGAAAACTCTTCTGAAACATCCTGGTGGAGAGTAAGGTTTCAGTCAGGCCCAAGACACAAATAAACCTGCCCATGTCAGTTCCAGTGCTTTCCAGTGCCAACAGGGCCACATTTAACTTGGGTGGATAATTTCCTTTTTCCAGAAGTTAGTCAGACCGTTACAACACTACCAACGCACACAACAAACACCAGATCCTCTCCGTGAGGATTTCTCTCTTGTTCACAGTTTCCTTCCCCTCTTTCTCCCCAGAACAGGGGTAGCCTCAAAGCGGAGCTTGTACCKACACTACTGGAAAAAAGTGATTCTTTCCAAACCATCACACGGCTCTGGGCCAGCAGCCCAACTTTCCCTCAAAACAGCAATWATACTTAACGATTTTCAGCAAGCCAATTAGCAGTCCTACACAATAGCGAGCAAATACTGGTCTTTCACATTACTGATGCTTCAAAAYGACAGGGCAAGAGAACTCAATATCTGTAGCGTTCTTGTAGCATACGGGACRCGTGCAGAGATGCTGCGGATCGGCCTGGCTGGCAGGGAAAGCTGCAACCGCTGGGAAAAGAGCTGGAGCAGAAGAGCAGAGAGACATTTTCTGACGAATAAACGAATGCAAAAAGACGCAATCTGTCGCCAACTTAAAACCACAACTAACTCCAAGCCTAAGATACTTGTGAGGATGAGCTCAAGGGTGTCAAAAACGAAAAGGCCACAAGATCCTTCTCCCGGTGTAGAAGAAATAATAAGAAGGAAAACTGTTTAAAGTTGTGAGCACAGCTGGTAGCAGCCTGCTAAACACATCTGTCTCCTACCTTGCAAAACCACAGAGAACCAACAGAGAAAGAGGCGTTTTAGCACTGCGAGGTGACCGCAGGAAGAGTCATCCTGCGCAAACCCCGCCGCAGACTGAGGGCACCTCGCAGACACGGAGGGGCCGTCGCTGCCCAGGCCGCGMAGGGGCAGGAAAGAGGGGGCCGGGSAGATAYCCTAAGTCTCCTGCCCGCGCTGAGCGGCCCCGGGACGCAGGGGGTTCCCTGCGAGCACCCAGTGCYGYCAGCTGAACCTTCCTCAGCTGGCCCGCACGGGCGAGGAAAGGGACCAAAACTTGAGCTCGGCTCCATTTCAGAGCTTGGCCTGGAAAAGAACCAAGGAGGAGCCTTGCAGGGGAGCTGCTCTTGGCCGTTATCCAGCGGCGGGCGCAGCCCAGCGGCGCTGGGCAGATTTTAAGCCGCGTGGAGCCTCCACGGAGCCTCTCGGGGGACGGTGACGGGTCCACCCCACACGAGGACAGCAGGAGGGCACCAGGCACCCCCTCGCGAGGCCACGGAGGGGACCCGAAGGCAGAAGGGGACCCCGCGCAGAGAGAGGGCGGCCGGGACGCGGCAAAGGCGCCGCTCCGGCGGCCAGGGGCTCTCCGAGCACGGCCCGCGGGCAGAGGAGGAAAAAGGGCAGAATAAATAAAATAAACCAGAAAATCCCCAGGCGGAGGGGAGCTCCGGCGCCAGCTGGGCCCGGCCCGGCCCAGCCCGTTCTCACCGGCGGCTCCGGCGCGGGGCGGGGGGGAGGTCCCCGGGACGGGGCCTCGGGCGGTTCCCCCCCCACCGCTGCCGCCGGCGGGAAGGGCAGGGCGGCCCCGGCCCGGTGCTGCCCCCAGCCCCCCGCGGGCCCCGCCGCCGCCGCCCCCGTCACCTTCTTGGGCTCCGAGCTGCCCGCCAGCCGCGCCTGCAGCTTGCCCACAACTTCCAGCACCGACTCCGCCATTTTTACTGCTGGACGCGCCGCGGCGGCGGAAGCGGCTTCACCGCCCGCTGCCCGCGCGGCGCTGCCCCGCCGCCGCCGCCATCTTGGCTGCAGGCAGGAAGCGGAAACCACGCGGCGCTCCCCCCCTCCCCTCCCCCGGCGGCCATGGCGGGTGAGGGCAAGGCCCTGGCGCGGCCATTTTGGGGCCTGGCGCGGCGCCGTGGCGCGGGAGGCAGCGCCATCTTGGCGCTTGAGGGCCTCGTGCTCGGCCGTGAGGACACGTCCCAGGGCCYTGTGCCGAGCCTGGAAGGAATCCGTATCCCTCAGCCTGATGTGCCCTTGGCTCCCTCCAGGGCCACATCCTCAGCCTGCCCCATCCTGCTGGCCTCTTTGCAGGAAAACCTCCCTCCAAGGGTGCCTGCAGCTGTGGCCACCAACACGGATGGGTTCCCCAGCATCCCAGCTCCTTCAGAGACCAGGGCAGGATTTCACTCCTCCTACCAGATACTTTGGAGTATCATTTGTGGCACTTTAACACTTCAGATTAAGCGTGACCAGTCTTCCACCTCCAGGCACATCCCTGCTGTCCCTCCTCGCGGCTGAGACTGCCAAAGCCGGACCTCACTGCGCCTGATCCCTGCGCTTTCGTGAAGCCCAGGGAGGCTTTACGTGGAGGCATTAAGGACAACAGCAATGCTGGAACAGGACGGCTCCGGACCTCGSACGCCCTSAGCCYGCCRGCTGTGTCCGYGCCGCCTCGCTCCGGGCTGGCAGTYGCRGCYGGCCCAGCCCTGCGGAGCCTCCCGGGGCTCTGCCGAGCACGGCTGTCCCGGCATCACCCCCGCGCTGGTGGARACGTGGCGAGAGCAGCCAGCTGCCCGGCAGGAGATGGCGCATGGGGAAAGCCCAGGGCTCCCTGTGTCATAACCCACGGAGCACGAGCCCTGCGCTGCCTTTGGAAGAGCCGGTTCCAACAGCAAGGTAAGAAGCAGGCGCAGCCCGGGGAAGCCCTGGGCTCAACCTCCCTCTCAGCAGGATTTGCAGAGACCTTGTGCGGGGCATGGGAGCTGCTGGATTTGAATGTAAATGGAGAATAACGCGTACTTGTTGCCTTGTAAAAGGGGGCTGTTGATCTCACACAGCTTTCCAGGCAAGCTGGGTGTTTGYTGTGACTGTTCCTGAGGGCTGGGGGCACCGACGGGCTAAAGGAAGGGGACTCTGCCTGTTCCTTCAGCTGTTAAAGGCATAAGTCTCTGGCGATGCTGCACAGCACAGCTCCTGCTTTGGTGGCAGCTCGGTAGTGCAAGCTGAGGTTAGCAGCACCGGCAGGATGCAAGGACAACTGTTGTCTTTTAAGAGAAGTTCAAACAACTAGAGAGAAAGGAAAAAAAAAAAGAATTAAAAAGTCTTCCAGTGGGCCATTTGAAACCTCTCCAAATGATTCCAGCAGACGGAATTTATCTGGCTGAAAAATATCYCTTTTAAGTAAACACGGAGATATTTCACTTAGCAGGGGCATTGAAGTCCCATTTTAAATTAACTGCACRTAGTAGAGGTTGCTCTGCCCTCCTGCAGCCAGGCACCTGGATAACTGGTGCTTCAACACAGTCTTTCAAAGGGGCCCAAAACAGACAGACAGGATCACTCTGATCAGCATGAGCTGGAGACCAGAACTTCTCCAAAAGCAATATTGCACATATATGAAGGCTAAAGCGATTAGAAATATTGAATCCCTGGCAAATTTAACATATTTTCATTTCATATATAGCTGAAAAACTGAGATTGATGGTTTTTTTCCTGGGGAATGGACAGCCTGAACATAACACATGATTAAGAACATCAAAACACTTCTGTTCTGGAAGGGTTTTTTTTTTTTTGCCAGTCCTGAGCTGGGTGTCAGAAACTATTTAATATACAAATACCTGGGGAAAGCAGCTTACATGCCCCGGATTTAGCAGGACTCCCTGACTCCACGATATGACCCTATTATAGGCTGGTCCTCAGCGATGTAAATTGGGCTAGTGCCATGAAATGCCACAATTCCAAGGATGCTTCAAGTGCCTGGGACTCTCCCGAATCCTCCCGGCTTCCTTGTGAAGCAGGGGTCGGGTTCAGCTCTGCTCTCCCACCGCTGTGCTCAGCCCCAGGGCCGGGCACCGCCGCTCCCTTCCTCTGACTCAGCCCYGAGAACTCCCCAGGAGAGACTTCTACTCAGCTTTTCCCTTCTCCATGTTTTTGGTGAARTCTCCAAGCGTCCGGAAGAGCCTGTTACGCCACCCCTCTACCCAGCACCAAGTACGAGCTGATTACGCAGTTCTAAGAAACCTGATCTTTGCGGCCAAGCACAATGAACAGTGCTGGGACATGTGAGACAGCAGCAGCAGCAACAGCTATTTCTGGCCGCCGGCGGATTTGTTTCCCTGTGTGTTGGCTGTTCCTGGCTCCCTTGGAGGAGATGAGGTCACTGCTGAATTTCAAAGTGCAGTTTCAAGCTGGAGTTTGGGAACATGTAAAAATTGGATTTTTCTTGTAGTTGTTTTTTTTTCCCCTTTCACCTCCACTCTGAAATTAGCAAAAATTTTCCACTCTGAAAATGCCTTAAAAAAAAAAAAAACCACACAGCCAAAGCACCAGCATTGGTTGAAGAATGAGCTAGGTTGGAGTCAGGAATTCAGGGATATTGCTGAGGTCTCCCCTCTCCCTCCTCCTGGCCCTCCATGACTTTCACTCATCTCAGAAGTACAGGATTAGGAAGCAATTTCCATCTGCCCTGCCCTACCCAAAGGGCATGCAAAATTGTAGGACTTTTTCTGCATATTCACTGCTTAGCATCTCACAGAGCAGGTAGTCTCCTGCAGTTCAACTCTTCTGTCCCTTTCTCRTTTAACACTCCAGAAATGTTGCTTTATGTTTCAAGTGGCAAAAAGAAACACCCACCTTTTTATGTTCTATGACCACAAGCCAACTCCAGTAATCTGCTGATTCGTGTGGCTGAACCATACAGAAGTGGAGCCCATGTATGTTAAAYCCAGCACCTGCTCCTGGAGAACAGCAGCTTCTCTTCCAGGCGCTCAGCATCGCAGTCCACGTGTTTCTGCTGCCTTTTCAATGCGAGAGACCCTTGTTCCCAGCAGCTTCCCAGGGCAGGAGTCACCACAAAACTCACAAGTTAGGCATTAGAAAACTTTATTTGCTTTTTTTTTCATTTCAGGAATTGCTTATTTGCCTGGAAGGATGATGCCATCATACTGTGAGAAAGAGAGAGAACACCAAGTGAGAAAGAGTCAGGTAAAGGTGCAGCACCGCTGTGGTGCTCCCCAGTTGTTTTACTGCTAATTTCAAGCATAACCATTAAATTCCACCCCTCAGCCAAGGGAATCCGAAGACCCCAACCCTTCACCGATGGACCCAACTAGAAATACACTTAACCCTTGGGCTCTCCCCAAAGTTTGGCCCCTGTAGACAACCCAGGCCACAATAAGCAGAACCAGGGAACTGGGGGGAAAAGCAGGAGCAGACGGGAGCCTGTGCTGTGCGGGTATGAGCAGCACACAGTGAAGCACGGCTACCAAACAGACTTTACCCTTTCCAGCTCTGACCAACAGAGGTTCCAAGCTTTTGCAATCAAGTTTTGGCCACTCACATTCACTGTGCAGTCCATGTAAGAACGATGTACAATGTTAAACCCAAGAGTGGATTTTACTTGGACTGCTCCACCCTCCAAGGCTGCCAGCTGAGCTAAGAACTCCACGGGACAAACAAATCCCAACCCTGCCTGCTCGCTGCGATCCAGGCACAGGCAACCCTTCCCTGCTCCCAAGCCGTTCAAAGCCATGTTTTAAGAAGCCTTTAACAAGGGTTTTGCCTACTGAAGGATCATGCTCAATAACTTGCTTTAGTCTTTCTGCAAGAAGGATCAACAAGACCTGCGAAGCATTTTCTCAGTAAGGTTGCTACCCATCTTTTGGGATAAATGAATAAAGCCAGACTTTACCTTCTGCTGGAACCAGCGCATGGCTTCCTCCTTTCCAATCCTGTGCTTGGCTCCAATGCTGCCAGTCCTGCGTTTCTTGTCAGCAATACTGAAGCCAGGCCTGCCCAGCACCTGGCCAGAGAGAAGATTAAGAGCACTATTTCATCCTGATTTATTATTATTTTAAATTCACTGTATTTCTAAGAGGGAAGTTTAGAGTTTCCAGATCAGTAATAAGCTTATTGTCAGAGTAAGAGACGTAACAAAATAGTTTCATAGCAAAATCTTCTATGGTCCCAACACAAATTGAAAACCACGCAACTTCTGGATAGTCACACAAACAGAGACACAGCTCCCARGCTGGACACAACGTACAGACTTGGAGAAACCAGCCCTATTTCTCACCTAAAGCCCTCAAGACCCAGAGAGGGACAAACTGAACAGCACTGCAAACACGCATGGAACAGATGCAACAGCTTTCCTCCCATGTCCCAGTGACAGCTGGTGCAGGGCAGATTGGAGGGACACAAACRCAGCGACCCCCAGGCCACGTCTCCTCCGAGCAGGACTCGGTCACTACAGCTGGTTCCTGGCTCTGCTGTGGGCAGCAGGGAGACTTAACCGCCACAAGTGCCCTCGGATACAGGAATCAGCCAGCCCACATTCCATGTTCCCACTCCTGCCCCAACTCCAAAGCCCTCAATCCTCGAAGTCCACACGTTGCTTCCCACAAGTTGCCCAAAATCTAGCCCAGCGATTCCTCTCAGCGTTATCCCGAGAATAACAACAGGSAGCAACAGGATTTGCTTCCAAAGAGGCTTTGTGAAAGGTGCCGTAAGGATCTTGCAGAAGCCCTGGGAAGCGCAGCTTAGACTTGCATTTTGTTGACATCTCTGCTTCTTCCACCACTGCACAGGAAGTCAACAYGAGCCAGAGGTACCATCGAAGGATTTGTCTGAAGGTTTCATGCAAAAGCAGGAACCCCGGGCAATACGCACCACGTAAAAGTCCAAGCCGTAGATGCCAATGCTGGGGTCGTATTTAATCCCCAAATCAATGTGCTCCTGGATTCCAAAGCCAAAGTTGCCAGTGTCGGAGAAGTTGTTTTTCCTCAACTCATATTCTCGCACCTGAAATATTTATTGCAAGTTATTATTTCATTATTAACTCAAAACAAGCAAACAACAACAAAAAACTCAAAGAAAACCCCACAAAACTTCTGCACATTCTAATAACTTCCAGAGGTTCTACACCCAGCAGTCTTCAGCCATTATTCTGATCCCACTGCCCTAAAAACCCCAGCAGCAGAGGCAGAATCCCAACAAAAGCAGTGACTGCACCAGGAAGCTCCGGATTACGGCGGGATCACAACCAGAGCCGCCTCTGGGGCGGCCCCACCTGCTTGCCCACCTCATCCCACCCCTTAACACCCACAGCTGACCCTTAGCTACGCTGCGGGCAGCATCTCCGCAGGTGGCACAGCCCAAGCTTGGTGTTTTCTGCAAATCACGGATCCCAGCCGGCCACATTCTCCCATTCTCCGGGATCAGAACTACACCCCGTGCAGCACGTGCAAGCCCTCCCGGGCTCAGGCGGGGCGCCTCGCGCCGCAGCCCGGCTCCCSTTCTCACCTTCAGCCCCTTCTCCAGGATCTCCTCGGCCTTGGCGCCGCGCACCGTGCAGTGCACGGCGATCTTCTCGTTCCTCCGGATGCCGAAGGACCTCACGGTGTACCGCGCTGCAAGGGGCG